CATAATGCCAAGCATGTGTAGTGACAATTTAGTTTCTATTCATACTTTCATTAGTGTAATATATACCTTTACAGTAGCACTCCCATAATATTATGGATACGTACTGTAACTATTTGTATAGATATCCGCCAGGCTCTTTGTCCCATATCGGTTGGAGAAAGTACTAGTTACGTAGGAGTGTTTTGGTTATATAGTCATCAAGCTGGTAATATACAATAATTTGCTTATTATTAATTACTATATTAGGTGTTAGAAACTAAATTAATAGCTAAAACAAAGAATATAGATGTGTGGTTAGTACAGAAAGCCTAAAGTAAATCAATTTACACTACATAATTGTGTATTAGTGAATTTTGAAAGCCTTCCATCATTCACTTTCTCAGCACATCCTTGGGCACTCTCTATGTTCACTAAGCCTTTCTCCAACCTCTTGCTCTGCTTTTCTGCTATCTTTGTAACTAGTCAACTTGTAGTAGTTACAATATTTTCATTAGGTTGTGAGTCACACCCATTCTAAAATATAAAATTCCATCTTATGTCATATAGTTTAAAGGAACATATACTCTGTAGGTTTATTTAACCATGTTATCAAGCCAAATATAACTATGTTGAGAATAGCGAAGGTCGCTAGCTTTGAAACGATCTTCCCATATATACAGAGTGTCCCAAAAATGTCCTCCGACCCGGAAATGGGGCACTCGGGGGGTGAATTGGAACAACTTTTTTTTTTTTTCCTTAGCAACAATGTAAACTGAGGCTTCATTACCGCGATATTAACGAAAAACCACGACCAATCAGAGCGCGAGTTTGCCAGCCGAGTTCCCGCGCTAGCGGTGGCTACACGCTACGCTTGTACTACGAAACTCCGAACAAGTAGGTCACCATGCATCGCAGGAAACCGCGTATAATAATAGCAAATAAACAAGACGTAACAAATAAAATCATATTTTTTATCATCTGTCGTTTGTTATTTAAGGAGATCAATGAATGAAACGTAAATGTAGGCAAATTATGTGTCACGTAAAAAGACGAATGCACATTTACATTTTTGTAAATTACTTTTTATGAATTTGTAAATTTCCTTTCCAAATAACGTGTGAACGAAAAGGTAGTGTAACAGAGAATAAACGAGAAGTGATCGTAATTCGGTATTGGTTAGTGATGGGCACCATCGACTGAAAACTATCGACTAAGTCGATAGTAACCAACGACTACTTTTAGTCGACTAATTTTTTTAATCGTCGACTACTTTAGTCACTTGAAACGACTAACTTCAGACGAATAATATTAGTCGCTTGAAGCGACTAACTTCAGACGAATAATATTAGTCGCTTGAAGCGATTACTTTCAGGCGAATAATATTAGTCGCTTGAAGCGATTACTTTCAGGCAACTAATATTAGTCGCTTGAAGGCTTCAATGATTTCTCTCACGCGTTCATGATGAAGACCTCGTCCGAAACCCCGTCCGAAACCACGTTCGAATCCCGATGCGACGGTTTTACCTTTTATTTTTAATTATTGTATAATTTCATTTTGTAAATTGCCAGTAAAATAAAAGGTTCGAAAATATTAATTTAAGAAGCATTTTACAAAAATGGTTGATGTATTTATTCCTCTTTAATATTTAAATTTTATATTACACAAATACATATTCTCTTATATGTACAAAAATTATTCTTACAATTAGATGTTACCTTTATTTTAAATCCATTACATTAATATGTTACGTACAGTGAAATGAAAGCTTGGAAGATATTAATTTAAGAATCTTATACGTACGAAAGACCTTTAGAAATAACTTCCCTAGTTTTATATTTTTTCTGCACGGTCACAGCGGCTATTGCTATCGAACAAAACTTTCTTTTACTCATTGTATACAGTTATTTCCCTTTTTTAATCTCGTTGTCAGAAGGTTCGACATTTGGTCGACAGCCGTTTTCGTCCGCGCGGTACTAGCAGAATTCGGAACAAAAGGGTCATAAACCTGTACCCTTTTATATTCCTTTTCCCATTTTCATTACTAACTTTTATGCAGTATGTTTTAATTTTTATGCAATTTTTTAAACTTTATGTATAAACTTAGTAAACCTCGTGGTATTTTTAACTTTTATGTAACATTATTTTAATTTGATTTAATAGTAAATAAAATGTATAATATAAATTTGTTAAATAGAATTTTTTTATTATTCTGTTACGAACAGTGTTGAATAGAATTCGATCTACTAACTAGCTAACAATTACAATTAATATTTTATTAGTTCATTAAATTAACAATTGCATTTTTTAATTTTCGAAATTACAAGTGAGCATTCATATTAATTTAGGGTTGGTTACTCAAATCATGCAATAACAATTAATAAACAATTTCCAAAAAGATTCAATAATATAACATTTTTATTCGCAACATTACGTATGAGTAAAAATTGTTCAATTACACTCAAATTTGGACTTATTTTCATCGCGAGAATCTCTTCAATTCATTCATGACACTTTCATTAATATATATTGAAAAGTGTAAAAGTTTAAATTTTCACGAGTGCATGATTCCTTATCTCATCTACGTCTGTTTAAGTGTTTACAATGTATGCCGACTGTCGGTCGCTAGCCTTCGAATCGAAGGCTTCGACGTTCGACCCTTGACGCCGTCAGCGCGT